GTGGTGGCGTCACCCCCCCCCCCCCCCCCCTGCAGCCAGGAGAGTCCTAGGCCTGACCCAACTGCCAGGCAGGTCACTTACCTTGGTGCATGAGAATTCCCGCCAGGTTATTCAGCACCATGTGCTCCTCGGGGTGTGCTGTCTGCTTGGCCAAGTCCAAGGCCCTCTTCCCATGCGTGTAGGCGTCCTCATAGCGCCCCTGGGCGTCCAGCACCGTGGCCAAGTCGCTCAGCAGGACCACAGTCTGCCTCAGGCCGGGGACAAGAGGCTTAGGGCCGGGGCAGGTGGGTTTTTGCTTTTAGAACTTAACCGCGGGGGAGGCGGACACGGGGCTTCCCCAGCCCACCGCTGCCCAACCAGCACCAGAGTCTCAAAGCATCGCCCCCTGGATGAACACAACAGGGTACAATGCTGGCTCACTCCTCCCGAGCCCATCGTCCCCCACCCCCTCTCCTCACCTGGGGATGCATCTCTCCCTGGACCTCCAGCGAGATCTGCAGCGCCCGCTCGTACATTCTTTGGGCCCTAGGCAGCTGTTTATTGGCCAGCAGGTAGCGGCCAAACGAGTCCAGGCTCAGACCAAGCAGGAGATTCGTGTTGGCTCTTTCCTCCGCTGTGGGCGGGAAAAGCGAGGGGTCAACGCAGTACCCCTGCGCTCAGGAGTGGGGAGGAACAGCCACAAGACAGACCCCCAGGGGGGATTCTTCCCAATTCCTGCCAAGCACCGTCAAAGGGTCAGGTTTGAGATTATGGCCAGAGCCTCACCCTCCTGAGAAAGGAGCCCTGTACAAGAGGCCTCCCCCGTACCGCTTCTCAGGACAGCCACGATCTCGGCCTTGCCCGTGGCTGAACTGCAAACAGAGAGAGCGCGGCACAGGCCGCAAGGAACAGCCTGGGCTGAGAGCCGGAGAAGGCTGGACCGTAGGGGTGGTGGAGGAAACAAGGCCCGATCTAAGAAGGGGCAATGGCTGGGGAGAAGCCAGCGAGGGAACGGGTGGAAGGGCCGTAGGAGGCAAGACGCCAGTGGCGAGGGGGGAAGCCGCACTGAAGCCAGCAGGAGCTTCCTACCGGAGAGGACGTCCTCAGACAGGTCCTTGTACTTGGCCATCTTCTCGTCCAGGGTCTGGATGCAGAACTCGTAGCCAGCCAGAGCCAGCTGGTGTCTGCAGGGCAAAGGGCAGGGCTCAGTGGAGCCCGGGGGCTCACCCCACGTTAGCTCACTACCTCCACAAGATGGGCATTC